TTCATTTAGGAACATGGAAATCCCCAAACGGAGCAATTACACAGATTGATCATGTTTGGATCATCTTCATCATGGAAAATGTTTGGAAAGCTGATTCAGAAAAGGCATGCAACGTCAATTATTGATGTCAGAGCAGCGAGGGGACCAAACCGTGACTCCGATCATTATATGCTTAAATTGAAGATTATACAGGGTCTTGCAGTGATAAGAACTGATCAACGGCACTGTAGGAAAAGGTGGGAGATTGATAAGCTGAAAGACCCTGAGATTGCTGAGAGATTTAAGACATCACTAAATAGGAATCTGATAGCCAATCAGGACGATGAGGAGGAAGAATGTGTAGACAAAAAATAGAAGATAATTAAAGGAGCTATTGAAAAGTCAGCAGAGGAGGAGATAGGTGAGAAGAGTCGGCAAAGGAGTGAGGAATGGTTTGATACTGAATGTCTTGAGGTCCTGCGTGAAAGAAATCAATGTAGGACGTTGATGTTGCAGCGCTCTACAAGACAAACTTCTAGGGCATATAGAGAAAGTCGAAAAAAAAGCAAAGAAGGTTATTCGAAACAAGAAACGAGATTTTATGAAAAGGAAAATAGAGCAGATTGAGGAATTGAGGTCAACAAATGAGACTAGGAAATTTGATGGAGCAGTAACATTTATGAGTCAAAAATGGGGCTTCAGTCAAAAATGACGGGAGGCAAAGATAAAAATGGCGTGGTGGTGGAGAGCTCCCGAGTTCTAGGTAGATGGGAAGAGCACTACACAGAATTGCTCAACTCTGGTGGTGGTGAACGTTTAGTTGGTAGTGATGAGGAGAGGCGTGTTGATGACCTGGAGCCATTGTCTGTAGAAGAGGTGGCTGAGGCGATTGAAAAATTAAAAAATAACAAAGCACCTGGGGAGGATATGCTGGTCGCGGAATTCTTTAAGTACGGAGGAGAACAATTGATAAGCCAAATGTATTTACTGTTGGAGGAGGTTTGGAGTGGTGAAATCATGCCTCAGAAGTGGTGCACCAGTCTGATATGCCCAATATATAAAAAAGGAGATAAACTCCAATGTGAGAATTACAGGGGCATTTTCCTATTGGCTGTAGCCTATAAATTTTTTTCCAACATCCTCTCTGTGAGGCTCAACGTATTTGCCGAGAACATACTGGAGGAAAACCAGTGTGGATTTCGGAAGGGGAGAGGAACAACTGACATGGAACAGGAGAGGAACATATGCTGTTCATAGATTACCGGCAAGCTTTCGATAGAGTAATAAGAAGCAAATTAATAAATGCTTTACATGAGTCCCAAATTCCAAAAAAAATTAATAAGGTTATTGCAAATGACTATGAATAATAGCAATGCAAAAGTAGTTATTAGAGGCAATGTAAGCAATAGCTTTCCAATGACGGATGGGGTAAGGCAAGGGGATGCTTTGTCTGCCACATTATTTAATATTGCACTTAATAATGTGTTGAAAAAACTAGATTCACCTGGTTGCATACTTAACGCAATGGTGCAAATATGTGCTTACGCAGACGATATATGCCTAATTATCAGGAATTTAAGATTAACATAAACAAGACAATGATGATGGTCCACACAGGATTGAAATATGTTTTCTTACCTTCGAATGTGTCAAAAAATTAACATATCTGGGGGTGGATGTGAATTCTGAAAATAAAATTGCTGCTGAGGTGTACAAGAGGATCATGGCTGGAAACCGGGCGTACAATGCCAACCTAAAATTTTTTCGATCATCGCTCCTGTCACTAGAAACAAAGATAAGACTATATAAGACTTCAGTAAGACCTATTGTGACTTATGCAGCGGAGACATGGACCCTTTGTACTAGTATTAGTATGATGAATATTTTTGAAAGAAAAATATTGAGAAAAATTTATGGAGCTGTTTGTGAAGAGGATGTGTGGAGATATAGAAAAAATGCAGAGCTATATGAATTATATAACAGCCCCAACATAGTTAATTTCGTTAAAATTAGGCCTATGGAATGGTTAGGCCACCTGGTTAGAATGGACCACAGCAGGATGCCTTATAGGGCATTGTTCTCTACGATGTATGGCACAAAAATAAGGGGAAGACCAAGAAAAAGATGGCTACAAGATGTGATTCTTTTCCAATTTTTTTAAATCCCTGCAATGTTCTCGTGGTGTTTAAAAATGTTATTCTTACAAATACACGTTTTTGAAAAAAAATCTTCACTAGCTCTTTAATTAAATTAAACACAGCTACATTTCCTTCTCTAAGAAATTAGTTAGACATCTTTGTTACAATGTTGTTGTTGTTTTTATTATTATTATTATATTTAATACAAGGTGATCCAACTTCCAATAATAGTTATATTATCATGAGACATTTCACAAATTATGGGATAAACAAATATATAAATGGTTATTTAACAATGCGAGTATTTTTGTTTCTTGTTTTTGATATTTTCAATCTGCTGTCGGTATCAGAGGTTTGCTTTAGCAATAATGTCGCAGTTGGTTAAATTAGATAATTGTGTTTCCCATAGTTTGTGAAATGTCTATATGGATCTTGAAAAATGCGAGAAACATTAACAAGGAGCGAATTATTAAAATCATAATAAAAGAAATAATCGTGAGATCTATTAACAAAATTACGTCACAAATTGTGCTAGAATTTTGTTTTCGCAATTTTTCGGTTGATAATTTTATTTATTTATTTATCTACTGGAAATCATCTTCAATCCAACGTCAACAAGCCTCGAGGGTATTAATAAATTAAGTAAGAGAACAAAAAAAAGTACAATAATAATCAAATAAACCTTCAGTGATAGGCTTGCGAGCAATAGGTAGGTTCGGCGGTCTGGTCCTATGTCACAATTCAAGTCCCTCCATTAGGCATTTCTGAATGAGCGAACTTGGTAGTTTTAGAGACCTACACTGTAGGTGCTACAGACTCTGGAATGCCAAGTCTGGCCGAAATCAGCCGAATTCCACCGATTCCCACTCTTACGTTTCCTCATTTCTGTAATTTAAATTCTTAAATTAAAATCTTAATTTAAATTAATTTTTAATTTAATAAAATTCTATTATTGTTTAATTCTCACCTTGTTTAATTCCCATCTTTACTAATACTAGTTCGATTTCGATGTTTATCTATTCTTTCTTTAGGATGGAATTACCTTTCAGAAGATTAAATAAATAATTGACAATAAAATATATTTAATAATAAAACAATAGCTTGTTTTTCCGTTGGCATTTCATACCATGTATATATTTTGCCGCCTTAACAAGCATGCTTCATCTCTGCCTGTTTGGGATATTTCTTTTTATTTATCTGCACGCAGCTTTGTTGATTCTATCTATCCAGCTGCTTTTTGGCCTTCCACGTGGTTTTGTGTCTTCTATTTAGGCATTCATTGTTATGTAGAGGCTTCAAATCTCAAGGAAGATGTTGAAGAGACCTCTGTGAAGTTGGCCTCTCCATCCTCATTTTTTTTTTTTTAATTTTGAGAGTTCTGATAGCTCCCTAAGAGTTCTAGAGGTCTCTATACTTTTTAGAAATAGTTCTATTGTTTAAACTACCGAAAATACCACACAAAGTTATGAAAAACTGAAAGCTTTACTGCATCGTGCAAGTATATCTTGAAGAAAGTTAGTGACATGCTGCATCCTAGCTTCAACCCCTTGTTACCATGAAAAGATTCAGAAAGGTGGTTTCTGTATCTTATGTGGTATATTTATCAACCGTAGCCCTTATCAATGAACCACTAATACCTGATTTTTCAAGTGCCACGCACAACCTTTCTTTTGGAACATTATCATAAGCCTGCTCGAGGTCTATAAAAGCCATATGGAGTTCCTGCTTCCTTTTTTGGGACTTCTCCATGAGTTGGTGAAGAACAAATATGTTGTCTGTACATGATCGGCCAGCTGTAAAAAGCTATAAAATAAGTTGAATATAACACACAACTATGCTATTAGGGTATATCTGCGTGTTTTTAAAACGTCACCAGTAAAAACTCTCTAATGATAGCGTCCATAGCGGATACGCTTTCTTCTACATCACTATTCACAGGTAGGTATGCCGATGCCAATGTGAAGGAAATCTTGCCCCACTTAACATAGCAAGATGCATAATCCGCCATGGTGTGTTGTCTCAGATCCATCACGTCAAGGTTAGGATTATTGATCACTATTGCAGCCCTGGGCCTTCCCTCTCTCCTGCTCAGGGCTATAACTCTTGACGTGAGGCCAAACCTCGTGCTCCTGTTCCCACACCAGCTGGACCGCCATGATATCGTAGCGTTGTGCCATAGTCCGAAGCTCGTCAGCCACAATATACCGGCGGCCCATATTCAGTTGTAGGATGTTGAGTCTAATCATAGTGAGTTCTTCTCACTAATCTTTGTGATCTCTTGATGTGCACCGGGCATTCTCGACTTCCTGCCTGGTGCTTAGCCTTATTTATTTGAACGCCTTTCCTCACGCAGTTAATGGATGTAGGTGAGGTATTATTTCCTTTTGCAGGACAGTTTTTAGCAATATGCCCACTCGCCGCACACCACTTGCATACTATGCCATTTGCCTCACAAGTAGCTTTTGTGTGCCCATATCCCTGACACCTTAGACAGGGAGGAACATCGGGGTAATCTAAAATTGTCAGTGACTATTATTTTTTTCGCATGGGCATCCTCATCTACACAAACTAAAACTGAGCCAGCCTTGGTCGCTCGTACAATCCTCGCCTTGACTCCTAGTACAGTTGGAGAAGGCAGGTTGTTGATTATTTCAACTGCACTTTATCCTTGAGAAGCGATGGTTACATAAGTTGTTCTTGCAGTATCCGTCGGTTTTAATGGAAGGCTTTTGACAATATCGGCCATCATAGATATTTTAGAGGCCACACTTCCCTCTGCTATAGGTTTAGAGGCCTCAACCTCTTTGGCCACCTTTGGAAGAGTCTTTTTCCTTCTTTGATTTTTCTTTACTTCCTGGAAAATTCCATTCTCCGTGGTCTCAATTAGGGTATCGACCAATTGCGGTTGTTCTCTAACGCATGGAAGCTCCATAGAGGTATGAGGTTCTGAAAGTCGTCTTTGTATGGTTTTACTTTCCGTCTTGATTTCCTCGATAACCATAGGTACTGTTTTTTCCACTAACACATTTACTATATCATACATTTCAGAGGATGCTAATGTTTCTCTAACCACGTGTTGTACTATAAACGTTTTTTCATGGTTTTTATCTTCATGGTATTGTCTCCATTATGTGTAACAATTGTTTAATTTTTCCTTGTTTAGTTTTTGTACCTTCGCTCTCACGTTCCTGTCTGTTGCGTTCATGTTGACTATGTTGTTTTCTTTGATTCTGCGGGCTTCTTGCAGAAGACTATCGTCTACACGTTCCTTATCTGATTCCTCTCGGGCGTCAGGAAATCTCTTCCTTTGCCTCTTTGCTGAAGGTTTTGGGCACATTACAGCCTTTTCTTCCACCATCTCCTGTTCTATTGCTGATGCAATGTCATCAACCATCTTACGCAAACCAAAATTAGCAACTTTATACGTTGAAATAATGGGTAAACAACAGTAGAAGGAAATGTATTTAGTACTCAAAATCTAAACTAAGTTCGAGCAACTTATAAATTACGTATGTTCAAAAGTAAGACTTTAATATGAACTTACATTACTGTTTCACCAACGTAATAGTCTGTAAACGTTTCCTTTTAATTAGATAAAACCTTCGTGGAAACCACAAGGTTAACCTGAACCTTCACATTAACTAAATCAACATAAAATAAAACTCAATCATGTTCAAAAAACTATAAGACACTAAAATAATACAAACAGTAGAAAACGATACAACAAAATTAACAGAATAAACTTGAAAAATACAAAACACTGAGAAGCACAACAAACCTTTATCCACTTCAGTTATGTCTCAAAAAAGTAATACATGTGGAAAATGTGTTCCGTCCTGTACTATCCGTCATTATTAAAGAATTTCGGCCTCTTCTCATATCAATACACATTTCTGAAGCTACCCTGGAAGGAATAATTCCAAATCTTTGATTGATTTCCATTGCTCCTCTAATCTAGCTGGCAAAGTAGTGAAGAAAAGTACTTACCTATCAATTTACTTAAAATAAGGAGCACTTGATACAATTACAGAACAATACCCTAATTATCTACAAGTCTGATCGCAAAAAGAACAAGAAATTTTCCTTATCAACACCCGTCGAATTCAGTATCTACAGCATCGAACTATCTGCCATTCGTAAAGCCATAATATACAGAGATAAGACATACATAAATAAAAAAATAGCTATTCTGACGGACTCATAAATTACACGTAAATACTTGAAATCTATATTAATAAAAACGTAAAAGTTCTTTTGTTCAAAACCGCTCATTTTCGAAAATGCTTCACCGATTGCTCTTGAAATATTTACATAATTCAAATATTTGTATATTTGAGCAAAGTGGGTTCAAATATTTTTTTAATCAGGAACAGAGTTCAGATTCTTATTTCGCATCTAGACAAACCCATTTATAACATCCTTCCCCGAAAAGAGTATGAAAAAAAAAGTTACGATGTGTTCGAAAATTGTTGTATTATACCCATTTATTATTTGAAAGGTTTCTTGATACCCTGCAAATAAAAAAAATCACTAAAATCGGACGATTTGGTGCAGAGAGATGATGCTTGAAAGATTAAGTAATTTTTCTTGGGAGATTTAGAGACCGATTGCTTCTTATATAGACAATAATATATTTAGCGAATTCTATTTGGATTCGAATGCGAGTTGGAAAACCAGACAATCTCTATATCTATACAAAGAATGGAACAACAAAGAATATCGCATATTCACAAGTATTTTTACATTAAAAATATTAGAAACATCTGATTTCTTTTCTATTTCTTTTTTTATTTAACCAGAATGAGCCACAGCAACGCGTGGCCGGATACAGCTAGTTAATCTATAAAAATAAAGGTTTAACACACATTTAATTTAAAATCAAATATCAATAGACAACGCTAGCAACAATTATTCTTCCAATGAGTGTTTATTTGGAACATGTGTTTTGGTGTCTAGTTGGAATGTCAGGAAATGAAATGGCAAACAAAACCAGCTACATCGGGTAAATGGTAAGGTCCATTACTGGACTTCATAAGAGCAGTAAGGAGCAAAAATAATAAAAGACTAGCAGCATTTTTACGACTGAGAATATACCTCGAAAGGTAACAATCATTAAAACATCGCAGCAGAAGATAGCACTGCTTCAATGGATTGCAACTGTTAAATTTCATCTCGACCGCTCCAGCTTAGTAAAGCTGGAAGGGCTTAGAACAAATCATGGTAGAACAAACCAATTTTTAAACGTAATGGGTATAGCTATGAGTGGTTACTGTCCAACATGCAATACCTGGAGGATCCAAGACATACTGCCTTCCAGTGTGAAATATTAGAAAAAAAAAAAGAATAACAAGTTCAGAGTCACGAGCTCTGGAGTTTTTTTTTCGATTTTTTTACTTTTTTTCGTTCATACATTAAGTTAACGCCCGTAATTTTTAACGATATAAAAGCGCTTATATAATAAAAGTCTTCTTTTATTCTCATTTGAATATCATATAAATACTAAGTTACATCAGTTTTAAACTGTTAGTCGTTCAAGTTTTATAGTATATATCTAGTAAGTTACACTCAAAAATGATTTAGCTATTCATATCCAGTTTATATCATCTTGCAGTGCCAATTAAAAATTGTATTGGTAAAATAAAGCTTGGTTTGAAAACTCTTAAAGCCAAAAAAATATATACATATTTCTTTAATGACGAACAAATAAATTGTTTACATAGTTCACACTTATTTTCAATATATATGAACTATACGAAATAGTTACGCTTGTTCATATTAATCATAAACATATTTAAAATAACTAAGAGCGGTATTATTATTTGATTAAGCATAAGATATTAAGCCAAAAAAATATAAAAATATTTCTTTAATGATGAACAAAGAAATTGTTTACATAGTTCACACTTATTTTCAATATATATGAATTATACGAAATAGTTACGCCTGTTCATATTAATCATAAACAAATTTAAAATCACTATGAGCGGTATCATTTTTTGATTAAGTATAAAATATTTGAAAAAAAATTACAAAAAATTAATTATTAAAAACTTACATGAACCGAGCCTAAGATACCAGTTGTTTTTTCGCATCCTGTTTAAGATGCTACAGATAGACGAAGTTAAAACTGCAGTAAGATGGCATCGAAAATAAGGATAGAAAAAAGGGTAGATATCTTCTCTCCCTCACTTTTCAAGAAAAATCGACAAACATTTGTCCTATGTATCTGATGGACATTCGTGCTCGAAGGAAGCGTAAGTTTATTAAAAGAATACAAACTTTATTATATTTTAAAAATAGTTTTAGTAAGTGAAATATGATCTGATTTCATAGAAGATAGATCAGATTTTTCATTGATTTAATTTTATAAATTATTACTAAATGACTTTCTTTCATCAACAAATTTATAAACTATAATTTAAATAATCATATTTTTATTTTTTTTTGTAATCCATATTAGAATGGAATATAAAATATGAAAAAACTTATAAATTGATCAAATCTTTCAATTCAAACTAATTAATTTTTAGCTTAACGTCACAATAATGTAACACCACAAATTAAAACTAACATTCAATTTTTTTTGTTTTTACAAAACTCTATGAATGGCCTAATGTAGTCCTTATCTAGTAAGTGCAAAACAATTTCAGTAAGCTTGCGTTGTGCTTCTTCCCCACCAGTTGACACGGCCCTTTCAACTTTTTCTTCTATCGTTGATGGTTCTGTTTCATTCCCATAAAATGGTATATTTTCCATCATTATGGGAAGGAAAAACGCAGCGATGGTATATCCGTAAATTACTCTTTCAGAAAAATGTTTTAAAAAATCTTCATAAGATGGTATGATAATATGTGTAGGTACATATTTCCTCAAAGTATTCCAGTACAGCTCTAAAATCGTATCCCAGTATTTTTCTCTCAGCTCTGAGGTCGTGTTCAGGTATAAGAAGAAAAATATATCGATAGCTGGACTTCCATATCCGGAAAATTGAAAATCAACGAATGCACAGTCTATTGGCTTATCATCTTCATCAAATTTATAAAGTATGTTGTTATTGCAATAATCACCATGACATAAAACGCCAAAAGGTTCTTCAGGCAATGAAAGCAAGTCCCTCGTTTTAATGGGATATTTCAGTAGGCTCAAACAAGTATTTAATAGATCTACACTCACATTATCCTTCAATAACGGTTTGATGCCCCTTTCTATACATGCAGCATTTATCACATTGAATTGTTGTTCAGTTTCTAGAGGTAAATCAATGGCTTTCAATTTTTTCGTCATCTGTAAAAACGTTTCCATATCTTCATGTTTACGAATAAAGGAAAATGAGTGAAATTCCGCTATCTTTTTTATGGCTATAGTTATATGATCAATATCTATAAAAACTCTTGTTTTCGGTAGAAGAAACTTTTTATATTTCAAATTCTCTAAAATTAATAAATCTTTCTCAGGTTGAGCGCCATTAGTGGCAAAACCATAGAAGAATTTGGCATACAAATATTTTCCTACTCCTAGATATGGTAATACTTCTTTGTACATAGCTACCTCGTTGTAGAACATTGCATCTAAATTACGAGATTCTCTCACATGGGCGTTGAAAAATGGCGTCTTGACAACAATAGGCATCTTTTTCTTCCCTGATGGACCATCAAGTGTGAGGTTAGCGAACGACAGATCTGATGAAAACTGTGCGCCCTTTGCGGTGTCGTCTGTTTCAAGACCAATGTAGAAAACATCGCCGAACACTCCGTCTTCTAATAGCTTATTAATGATTGGTTCAATTGACATGGCAGCAATGGATATGTCCTCTCCCAAACCGCTGTGACTGAACTGAAGCCCCTCTCTCCCCACCATGCTCAGCTAGGCGAATCGGACCAGCCATATCTTATGGCTTTATTTTTTGCTATTGTTATTAATCTGATTGGATTAGATTGAAATCAATACATGCTTATGATTCTTTTTAAAGCTAGAATTTGATGCACTGTTAACTGTCTGGAGGTGTGATATATTTACAGTTTTAAACTGTTACAGGAATCCATTTGCTTAGTCACGTTTTTAGAATGATGGTTTATAAAATTGCATTAATCGTTTCTGAAAATTTTATTATAAACGATAAATAGATTTACCACTTTACTCAGTCTCATTACGGTTTTTTTGCATGTATATATATATATATATATATATATATATATATATATATATATATATGTATAAATTAAAATATTTTCTTAGGAACCCGCCTAAAATACGGTTAATATTTTAAGGGGTTGGAGTTAAGCTTTAAGGGGTTGAAAGAAGTCGGAAGAGGTTCCAACTTCCTTCATCTCCTCTCTATTAGTAATTATATGCATAGTTACAGTATAAGATCCCAGCAGTACGTTAGAGTTAGAG